TATATTTGTTTCTTCTCAAGCCACTACAGCATTAATAAGCAGGAAACCAGGAGGCTCATAATTTATGTATTAAAACTGCATAACAAACTACAGCTAAAAAATTATCTTGGAGTGAACAGAGAACTACAGAGCATCAGGAGCATTGCTTAAGTTTGTTGGTATCTAACAAACCATGTGTGGAAGGGGCAGACTATCCATCAGAGAAAATGAACACATTTTAAGCACAGAATTTATCAAATAGGCCATCTTTAGTACCAATTTTTCCCTTTTTTTTTAACACTTTGGATACAAAAAAAAAAATATTAGACTCACTAGATACTACTTTCAGAATAAATAGAAGTCACATATGTATTATATCTACGTGAAAAAGTTAAACTGGAGAACTCATTTATCTCTCTCTCTTTTTTTTGTGGGGGTGGAGGGAGGAGACTAGATACATGCACAGTATGGAATAAAGTGCATATCCCTGGGCCTACAGATATGATGACATAAAACTTTTTTTTTTTTTTTCCTGAATGAAACTGCTTCCATGTACTTTTACTTATCTTTATATTTTTCTGGATGACTTAATGTTCTGGAAATGTTAACTCAGCAATTGATTTGGCAGCAGAATTGAAAAATGAACCATTTTTGGCTCTTTTTGTTTTTTTTTGTTCTTCTACATTCAAAATACATGGAAGAATAATTTTTTTGTGTTGTATTACGTGGTTGTCATCACAAAGATGTGTTTGAGGTTTTTTTCTGCAAGCTATAATTAAAGGCTTCTAATTTGAATAATGACTCAAATCTACATTAAATTGAAATATGTTATCTGATATTGAGAAAGTCATCCTTAAAAACTGACAATAACTAGAATGGGGCATAATGTGAAGAAAGCTTCTTTTAAAAAATGGTTAGCTTTGTTGTTCTCAACTCTGCAGGATTCTTAGTCTTTTCCATTTTAATCTTTTTTAAAGAAAGAGTTGAATCTATAAATAATATTATAATGTATTTTTAGAGAGAAGTAAGATTTTTACATTGAGTATCTGTATGATGATATAGAGATGACAGAGGATAAAGGAAAATTAGCAATATATATGTTTTCTATTTCCTTTATCACATATACCAATATTCCCTGTTAGGGATTTGGAAATTATGGGTATTATGCATTCTATACTAGTTCATTATAAGAGCTATAACATACATTGAGCATTGAATGTCTTCATATTTAAATTATAAAAATGGAAAGTAGCTTCCAAGAAGCAAAGGCAAAGCTTAAATCTCAACCTCAAGAACCAACAAAATAAGCATAATGAACTCAAACACAAAGCAAAACAAAACATGATCAAGACATGAAATAGCCACAGATAAAACACAATTACATAAATGAAAATGGCCCAGTTTGTGTAAAACCGTATCAGTTTCTAAATAAAACATTTTCCCTTACTATTAACTTTTTATTACATAAGCAGTTTACTATTAACTCATGCATCATCAGCATTAAAGAATTAAAATCAAAACTTGGAATGTCCCTGCAACCAAGATTACTTTATCCAGCAAAGCTATCATTCAGAATAGAAGGTCAGATAAAGAGCTTCACGGATAAGAAAAAGCTAAAGGAGTTCTTCACCACCAAACCAGCATTATATGAAATGCTGAAAGGTATTCTTTAAGAGGAAGAAGAAGAAAAAGGTAAAGATAAAAAATATGAACAAGTGACAACAAATGGGGATCTCTTTATTGACTCAGCTGTTCCAGCTGATTGTTATTTAACAGTGGAAGACAGAACACAGCCCTAGATCAGCAGTTCTTAGCAACAATGGTTTTGTTCTCCAGAAGACATTTGGCAATGTCTGCAGTTGGTTTTGGTTGTTGCAATTCTGAGTGGTGCCAGTAGTAACTAATGGATAGAGGCAAGGAATCCTGCTAAGTATCCTACCCTATAAAGGACAACAAAGAATTACCTGGCCCAACATATTAAGAGGTTGACGAACCTTCCTTTGGAATGAAAGGTGTTTGGGTAAGAAGGAGAGTTTACCAGGAATCATTCATTTTTAAAAAATATGTCCATTGAAGCTTGATTACACATTTTGTTGAGTATTTGAGTGATGGCATGTATATAGAATGTCCACATGTAGAAGAATTATGCACCTGAATTTATAGCATTTATATGAATTTTTGCAAAAGAAATTTGAAATAGAAAGAGCTAGCACAATATAAATAGAGTACTTAGAAAAATGTCTTTATCTTATAAAGACTAGATGCAAAGTAGTTGCAAACAGAACTCTGAACTCTGAGGTGGTCTTGAGCGAACCAGCCTGAGGTGGCTAAGCATAATGTGGAAACAAGGCCCATCAAAGTGTAAATAGGGCCTCGGGGTTAAGAAGCACATCCTAAGCTTTCTTGACTATGGCTTTAACCAGTTCTCTACTGAGCATAAGGCCACAGATGCCTGACCCTGAGTCTTGGTTGGTTTCTTGTATGTCATATCTGATTTGCTAGATATGTATGCTAATGTTAGTTGTATCGAGGTCATTCCAATAGGTGAGCTCTGCTTCTTTCAAATAATAATTTCAGTTACAGTCATAAAGCTCTGGTGTAAAACGGCCCCTTCAGGTACCATAACTCAGTGACAGCACCAGTAAATCAGACTCACGTGCATTTCTAGTCTGATACTCCTAGTAGGTACACCAATAACCATCCCACTTACAAATCAATGTCCAGACAACATCTAATGGAATCTGAGTGTTCTATAAAGTTCCCTTTTTAGAATGGAAATGGTCACTGAGAGCTTTGGCTTATTTCAACATGATTGTCATCGACTGTGTATGTAACCCATCTTTCTTTCTATTGAAACATGAAGTCTCTGATGAGCAATATGAGACAAGAGAAAAGGAAAAAGTAAGGGGGAATGTTTCTGATTCAAGAAGAAGGAAAATGCCTTCTCTACTGTGCTTTTAAAAACGATGTAATAAAATTAATCTTACCCCAGATAATATGTTCTAAGGCTATAACAAAAATTATGTCTCCTGTTTACTAAAATAATTTTCTAGGAACATTAAATCCACAGAGATAGGAATTTTCTTATTTTTAAAAACTACCCAACACACATACTTAAATATGTAGAATTTCATTTAAATAAGTCAGTCAACAATTTTTTATAAAGTATTTAACACTTCATTGTAGAAACATAGGCAAAATGACTATTATAACCAAAATGAAAAATACTGTTCAATTTAAAAAATGTACTTAAACAAGAACCTGAAAAAGTTTATGATATGCATAACATTGTTCAAGCAAAATTGCACTAGTATTACATAAATCAATAGTTTATAAAGGCCTCAATATGGCAAAGTTTAGAAATAGGTAGTATGCATGCACATAGTACAACAAAAAGTCTCTTTATAAAACAGCAGTTTTTTTTAATGCTTGTACAAAGGGATAAGAGCAACCACAAACATATTTCATCTGTTAGGTTAATACATTATGACAGCTAAAAGTCAGTCATGTCTATAGAGGAACAAAAAGCCCTCCTTACCTTGTGAATAAATCTTTTGTGCCTTTAAAGATATTTGTATAAAAATGCTATCCTTTTTTATACAACTTAAATAAATCGTACTTGTTTCAATTAAAAATTGAAAACAAACCAACAAGTGAATGGGGTCCATGTGTTTTTTCATAACAAAAAGAAACCAGGGTACCAGGGAAACTGGTCAGCATTTATTCCCTCCACCTTTGATTATGGGCAGATAATTAGTTATCCTATAACTGGGCAAGTCCTTTAAGAATATATTTTTGATAGGGAAAATAATGAATTAGTCATACCGTATACTAAAAATATTTATCAATTACTCTATACCATAATGACTGTTTTGCTTCTTTTTGACCTAGAAAAGAAAATGCATTCACATAATTGAAATTCTGTCATCAATTTGTGTGCTTACGTATTACTCTTTAGTGTTCTGTGTGGGAAGAGGTTGGGTTGCTCTTCCACAAAATGAACATGATTGGGAAGAGATTTCTAAGAGGTCAGCAACCAATACCCTGTTGTGCTCTAGGCTGGCTATTTACCTCAGGACTGAGGGAGAACAAAAGGTCTTATCGCACAGCAATGTGGTTTTTCCACTCTGGGTTATAGTTTTGCTATGTTCTACCACCTAAATATAACTATTGGTTGCAGGGTGTATATGTTTAGTATATCTCATATAGTTCACTAAATTTTGGAAAATGTAGTCATATGTGTTCATGCAAATTATTCATCTTATATATTTTCAAAGATTTTCCTCAAAATTCTCATCTATCAGTTGGCAATCTAAGGCTAATTTCAAAGCAGGAGATGCTGAACTTGTGAGGGCTATATATTTTCAGAAGTAGGAATCAATCATAATGGGCGCAAAGAAGAGAGTCAACCTTTCAATCATTCTTTTACCAATTGAAACATAAAAGTAAAATGACATTGTATTACAGGTTTCAGACCACATAATGAAAAAGTATAGAGACTCACACTGTGGATTAAGTAGAACCAAAAAATTTCATATAAAATAGATTGCTCATATTCACACTACAAAGGACTATGTTGTTTTTAATTTTAACAAATTCAAAGGGGTGTCATATCAGCAGCATTGTTGTAAATTGTACTGTAGTGCAGTTCTTGTTTCATAAAAATACCATACAAATGGTCAATCAATGGTCATCAGCAAAAAATAAAACTCAGAAAACAAGTAACCAGGGAAAAGATAAAGAAAGAGGTAATGCTGATGCCAAAACAAGTATAATACTGTTGGAACATACAAAAGTAATCCTTATATTTTATACATTTTTTACAGTATATAAAAGGCATCGCTGATTATGCCACCGTCTCTCTTATTCCAATGTCTATTTTCTTTGGAAGCAATTCTTTCCTTTCATCAACACTTCCTAAGGAGTTTCGACAGTTTGGCCCATCCATGTATAATTTTGCATACACTGGATTGGAGTAATTTGTTGGCTAAAGGAGAAAAAAATAGATAAGTACAATTCTATTATCAGTGTTCACCACATTAATTAGCTATTTTCTAGGATGTCTGTCTTTTAATGCTGACGACATTTATACGCAATACTTTTAACTTATTAAATAGTGATGATTTCAATGTAATTTAATTTGTATGTATTATGCTTTTGTTGACTTTAGCATGGTATTAGATAAAATCATAATTGCATGTTTTTCAGGTAACTTGTGAACCTGATGGGAGCTTTGACATAAATATTAAAGTCCCAAAGAAATCATTGTGAACTCCATATTCCCTGAGATTTTACTTAAAAGCGTAAAACGTGAAACTAATGTGTTATTTCCAGTCCATATGCTTTCCCTCCTCATTGCTATTGCAGCGACAGGAAAAATGTGTTTACAGAAAGTCATCTAATTGCTCAGTGCTGATAATTTTTCAATATGAAGTTAAAAGCAAGAAAACAAAGAAAAAGAAAAATATAATACATTGGTGGAGTAGATTTAAAATAAGCACAATATTTTTGCTTCAAACAACCTCTATGTACTTATCACTGGAAATATTTTTGTATTCTTTCAAGGAATTGAGTAGTACCTAGTCATCATAGGTTGCACCGATATTTAGAGCATCTTGAAGTAGAATTAAAACCTGAAGAAATGATCTCTTTCATTTTGAAAAAATATACAAATGTTCATATTTTACTAATTGCAACTTAACCCAAGAAATCGTTGCCTAGTGTTTTGGTTTTTCCTGTTTGTTTCCTTTGTCTTTCCAAAAGCAGAACATTAAATCTTAGTTACATCAAAGAAACATTATAATCTTTGAGCCATGCAGTTGACAAACATGATAAAAATGATAATGAAAAACAGTTGATGGGAGACTTGATACCCTTATTTTATCCCTCTTCTAACATAAACCATGTGACTTTAGACAGAGTACTTTCCTCTAAAAGCTAGCTACTTAATTAAAAAAGAGAATGCTTTTATTAGACCATTTCTAATTTCTCAAGATGAGGCCTTGTTTGTAGTATATTTTCATTTAACTGGATATCAACTTTGTATATATTGAATAAAATATCTTAAGAAATGCATGAAAACAAATTTAAGTTTAAGTTATTCAGTTTTTAAATCTCTAGCTAGAGATTTCTAAGAATAGCAGACTCATGTTTATTGTTAAAGTTCTATAAGATGTTCAAACTCAGAAGAAAAAATATTTCAAATATTTTTACTTAATAGTTTGCCTGAAATGATAACATGTATTACAGTAATCTTTCATAGGCAGGATACATACCATCAGCCCCAATTTTAATACTGTTTTCAAATCTCTTCTTAATTAAAAACTCAATTAAAGGCAAGCCCCTACCTAAATCTAGTAATAGTCTTTGATTGTGAGAGGTTCTGTGATGGAATGGATATGAAATAATGAATTTGCTTCTCTCACCCCAGCAGTTAGTGGTCCTTTCAAATCAGAGTTTAAGTAGATGGGTGGCGCTGTATGTGGAAGCTTGAAAGCACTGGACACACCCCCTATATACCTGCCCTGTACGCAAACAGAGAATTTTAGTTTCTCATCTAAAATGGAACTCTTTTCATTGACATAAACTCATGTTAAGTCATAAGAATAACATAAAACACATCTTTTAACCCGGGGGCATGAACAATGTACTCATGGTAGCTTTAATAATTTAAGGACTATTGATATTAAATATTTGATCCATGGGTTGACATTTCTATTATGTCCAGATTAACTTAATTTTATCCTCCGCAATGAAATCACACCTTTGCTAGCAGCACTGTGAAAAATACACCAGCCTCCCTGACTTCAGGTTTGGTCACTTTGAAAATTCCTGACAGTAGCCCATTCTGGACACTCAAGTATCAGGCATCTTCTAATTAAAGATTCATCACCACTGCGTATTTTTACAGAAAAAAATTTAATATATCATAAAACAGACAGCTGTATTTTTGAAAATATGTTAGTCTAAAACAGATTAACTAGAAATTAATTTGGCTCACTAAGTCTTCATGTAAGAGTACTGACTTGAGACTTCTTGGCGGCTAAGGGTAGAATTAGCCAATCTGATGCACTCATAGGCATAATAGAGTATTTATTGATGACCCTCAAGGAAAAAAAAAAAAACTAGAGGAAAATTTGAAGAATATGAAAATTTTAATGAATATATATATTTTAAAAATCTTAACTAGCAACTCTTAACAATGAATGATCACAAAATTTGGGACAAGGTCAAGGGTGTCAGGAAAATATTTTAAACATAAATTTAGGTCAATATCACCTCTTTATTTTTCCCCCAAAAGGGTCTTATTTAGAAGACACTTAAAACAATCTAAGTAAGAATTGAATGAATTTCGAGATAAAATCAGTAAATACTAATTTCCCTTTTTTTAACTTTTCAAACTATACTGTGATTGCCTTCATAGGCAAGACTTTTAAAAATAACTTTATTAACCATTTTGTTTCTGATTATAAGGTATTATTGAGTAGAAATTTTATCTATTTTTAAAACAATAAATGATTTCTACCAAAATCTTCTTTATGTAATGCAATCCTATATAATAAAAGGCTAATATGCAAATTGTCCCCTCCTGCGGTTGTTTGATCAGGAGTTTGACCAGGAGACTGGGAGTTCAACCACTCGTTATGACAGATGCTGACCACCAGTGGGTGGCGCGGAATATGGTAGGCGTCAGTGACACTCTGCAACCTCTTGCTGGCTACCTGGGGGCGGGGGTGACGGGGATGGAGGGGCAGTGAGAACATGGGGTGTCCACCAAGCTTGCTCTCACTCCCCCTGGTACCCTCCCCTGGGACACCAGGGCTCACATGCAGGGGAAGCCCCTGTGCTCATGGGCTGGGCACCTGCAAGGAGCCCACCCTGCATTGGCCGGCTTCCTCTGGGTGAGCTGGGCCACAGCCGCCTGGACCACAGGGGCCAGTCTGGCTGGAATCCCTGTGGATTTGCACAGGAGCCAGTCTGTGAGGCAGGCCAGGAGAGAGTGTGCAGTCCGCTCGGCTTCCGTGCAGCACCGCTGGGCAGCTCAGAGGCCCATGCTGTGCCCCTGAGGCATCTGGCCGTCCTCACTGCATCTCCATGTTGGGACTCGGGAGCCATGACTCAGATGGAGGGGGTGCGCAGGGGCCCATGGGCCTAGGTCCTGCCAAGGGCCCAGAGGTCAGCTGGGACCTGCCTTTCCATGCCTGATGCTCGCACTTCAATCGCCAGCCAGGCCTAGGGACCGCACCCGTGCATGAATTCCATGTACCAGACCTCTAGTTTATATATAGTTGCTTATATCATGAATATGTCAAAGCATTGTAACGCAGTGAGTACTATGAAAAACATTTTATCCTTAAGGTTCTTCCATGTGGCTGGCTCTCTGATTTTCAAAATTGCTTATCTGTATTAGGACTACTATCTGCAGTTCTTAGGTGACAATTCATATTTATATTTCCAACATCAGGAGCCAGCTAGAATCAACCATATAGTCACATTTAATATAATTTTGGTCAATCAGTCAGCAAATTGGTAAATAAATATTTATTGAGTGTTATGTGCTTAAATAAATATTCATTAAGTGTTATGTGCTAAGTATGTTAAAATATATTTGAGGGGCACTGAAGCATAGTTTTATCTTCCTAGAGTAAATGTGGAAACATTTTTAAATGGAATACTAAGAAGCTAGTTTCCTTAAGTGTCCAAAATTGGCTTAATTCTATCACAAGAAAAATAAGGGGAAAAATGAGAATTCTCCTTATAAAAAGTGTGCTTTAATATGTCCTCATTAGTTCATATTATATTTACAGGCACCATATTTTAATTTATAAGAAAAATTCAAAAAATATGAGAAATCCATTATTATGATGTCTTTCTCCTTTGTAGATAAATTATCAAATAATAATGTTCTCAGTGTATAGACTCTTTAAATTTGAAGTAACCAACAGTGAAACTTAGATTATAAGAATTTATTCATGAACAATTTCAAATGTAGGAATTGGTTACTTAACTAATAGTAAATATTAACTATAAAATTATTCTTAATTAGGAATAATAACTTTAATATCCTTGGATTCAGAACTAGATTAAATGTATAGAACTTAATTCAACTTCTTTGAGAATAACTGTTGCTATGAATGTAAAACCATTTGGACACAGATTGATCACTGTGATTATTTGTAATACAAAGATATATTTTATACATAGTACCTTTACATATCAGAAAATACATATTCAACAAATTAGTGAAAAAAATAAGAAAATAATATTCATAATATAAAATTGATGTTCTTAATTCATAGTAAAATATCCTATAATTATTATACAAAATATTCAGCTAATACAGTGAAGTGAATCTTTTCAAGTTTATCTGGATATTGTATCATTTACTTCTCTTAAAAGGTGCCAATAGGAACATACAATAATAAAAGCTTACAGAAACTTAAAAAAGAAAACCTGTTAGCTATTTAAACTATATATATCAGTGACATGTCTCAAAGTACATTACAGTTCATAGAAAAATATTTTTCAAAAGTGATTTGATTATAAACAAATCCATGGGCAATATTTAGATGAGTTTATAATTAAACACTATTAGAAATAAAGTACTTATTTTGACAATAAAACGCTGTATTTTTATTATTAAAAGTACTTCAGACAGTACTTTTACACTAGTCTGTATATTTAGATGTGCTGGTACCTCAACACATTTGAATGAAAGATGCTATTTCAAGTAAACTACATGTTTATAAATTAAATGAATAAATAAGTATGTATTTTCCAAAACATGTTGTACTAATTTCACGCTTCAGGTGAACGCAGTCCACAATCTTATTTTTTTTTCTTTAGAAGAGACAATAACATTTAGTGCTTCCTAAACTTCTTTCTTCAGAAAAAAGAAACACTGTTAAATTTAGAACCATTTTTGCAGAGCTGTGACTCAAGAGTGTCAGTAGTCATTGCCCATCATCTTACCTTTGTTGGATCTATCATAAAACCGGGATCTAGAAGACCTCCATCGTTGTGATCATGATCCACCTCATACATGTTGTAAGATGGATTGCCAATTTCTACGTTTATGCCTCCATTGATAATAGGTTGTCTTCTAATAGTTTTTGTCCTGCATTATGCGAACATTGTTTAAGTATGAGTTTAAATATCACAATCATGGTGTATGAAACTATCATATTTATAGATTTATTCACTTATTTTAATATAACTAATGGTAAGTTCATAAAAATATTCATTCAAAATCAAGTCACAGAGGAACAAAAATAACAATGTGATGCTATTTTTCCAAATTATTTAGCTTATTATTATTATTTTTGTTAGAATGAGTAATAAAAAATGCCCTTGGAACATATTCCTCCTTAGTACCTAATTCCACATTAGTTGAAACTGAATAGTCACTAATCAATTACTTTTTAAAATTCTAGATTTTTCCTTTTTTAATAGAAATCATCCCTTAAAAAATGGTAAAAAATTTAAAATAAATCGCCTTCAATCCCCCAAAATCACGTGGCTAAAAAGCCTCTTTTACATAATTCAAAAGCTGCCTCACACACTCTTGGTTTGTGATGATAACCACAGACAACCCACTCCTTCTGGATTTTTATAACTGCATATTCATATATATTAAAATGACACTTCCAGTAATATATAAAATAAACAAATGAACCGTTTCTGATATATAATACATATTCAGTATCATTGTATTTACATTACTAATCTTTCATAATATAATATGATCCTTTTCAAAGACTCTTGAGTTTTCAAGGAAAAACTACCACATATGTAAAATCTACTAAAGTTTTAATTAGTATTTCCCCTTGTTAGTTTTATTAGAATATATGAATAGAGACATTTCCTCAGTATTACATGGGAGAAGGGTTGTCTGAATTATAACCACTCAAAATGAAATAAAGGGATAAAATTGTTTGAAAACAGAATTTTAGTTAAAATAATTTATGTTTTAACGAAGTAAAAAATTGTCTATGTTTCAGTAACTATTTGTGCGATTTGTTTGTTAACTGCTAATCTAGAACATCGCACCATACCTTCTTTTTCTTTTACAAAGCACTAACCCAATGACTAAGGTGGTTATCAAAGTCACCAGGAGCACCAGAGGCACGATGATGGCAATGCTTCCTGAAAGAGAAATGAATGAGCACAAAAGCACATCAATAAAATAATGATGGATACAATTGAACACTGCATTACACCTAATCATTTGACCAATGACATAATAAAAGTGAAGCTTAGGCCAAATATCCATGTTCCTAGTTCAAGAAGTACATTATGAAACATCATTCTCCTATCAAATACTTGATCTGCTAGAACTGTTTCCTCAGATATCGTTCACTTATATGTTGCAGTGAGGTATCATGCTGTTGGAAATGCTGACTGCTTTGTCAGTCTGAGTCTGAATCACAGCACACACATTACTTGCAATGATGTAAGTACATGCTGGTAACTCCTTGCAAATTACTTTTTTACACAATTTCACTGGCCATACTACCACCCTTAGTTTTGTTCCTCTATCTATAAATACTCTCTGGCCAGGAATACATGTGACAAATCAGATGGCAGCCTGGCCAAACAAAAGGGACATCAGTGTTAACATTGGATGGATATAGGCCTAAGTATCAGTTCCACAACTTATGCAAAGTGAGACCTTAAATGGGTAATTTAAAATCTGAGGCTTGACACATTGAATACTATTTAGCCATTGGAATATCAAGTGATATTTAAAAGTATCTTAAAATAGGATATTAAACATAAAGTCAATTAAAAATGTTTTTGACATTTATGCTCTTCATCAATAAAACAGATGAGAAGTCCTACACCAGGTCTGTTAGCTTAATTCAACAAAATAGGGGACAAGGGGGATTCTCTTCCTCAAGTTCCAAAATAGTTTTAATTGAACATATCTGGGAGATTTGGCTTATGTTGCAAATTTGGCTTAGAGTGGAAGGGAGGGAGGCAGGGAGAGGGGGAAGAGAGAGCGCGAGAGAGATAGAGAAAGAGAGAGAAAAATCAGTGTGAGATTCACATGGATTGATTGTATCTTGACCAGGGTAGGGATCAGACCTGCAAGGTATGTGCCCTTGACTGGGAACAGAACCTGAGACCCTTCTGTATACAGGCCGAGGCTTGAGAAACACCGAAACACTGGCCAGGGCAATGTGCCACTTATCATGTACTAACAAGAATGATCTTAGATTGAATCACTGATCTACAAGCTGGAATAAAAGATCTATGAAATAGGTCTTCAAAAGTGATCTGAGAAACTGAGTGTTAGTTTTTACGCACCTGAGCATAGGGGAGAAGCAAAACAGAGAACCTGTGCCCTCTATTTCTAGGTTAGAAATAAGAGCAACATTTTTTTTTTTTCTTTTCATGAAGGAGTCAATCTTGGTGATGCTGTGATCCACAGGAGGATATGCCTGGGGTTATATGTCCCTTATGCAGGCAGAAAGCTGAATGCAAGTGTTGCTGACAACAGGAGAGTATTAAGTAGCTCTACCCGGTACCTAATGTTAACTTTCACAGACAAATGTCTACTGCCCATGAGACACAGGCTTCATTTATCTGGACTAGCATCTGGTTGATTTAGTCAAGGCAGCCTAGTCACCAGTTAAAGGGAGGAACAAACCAGCAATGCAAAAGCTAATTGAAATGTAATGTGGGAATCTTGAATGGTTCAGGAATAAAACTTCAAGAAATATTAAATATTTGAATTTGCTTTTCAAGGACATTTGTGTAAAAATACTGTGGCAGAAATGAATTGTAATACTAAGCACGGTAAGCAGCTGCTTAGGGACTTTAAAATAGAAATATAGATGCGTTTGAATAGCTATAGCCAGAAAGTGTCTGTGTGCCATAGCTCATGGTGGAGATTCCTTACCAAAATACCAAAATGTCTTTATTAAGGAGATGTCATGTATAAGAGAATATTTCAATTTGAACCTTCAAAAATAATTTGACTACAATAACCAAATAACTATCTCTTCCATGCAAAACAAACGAACAATAAACATGGCTTGCCTTCTCATTTTAGAAGTTTATAGAATGCAAAACTCATTTTATTTTTTCCACATTGTTACCAGGACTATACAGCTCAGTGAGTTTAATATTATATGGTTTTGGGAAAGTAAACTTGGATTTGGGAAAGTGAACTTTATATGAATGTGTAACTTATTAGTAATTAGTAAAAGTGGAGAGTCTGGCAGATTGGAGAGCAATTAACATTTGTTCACAAATTGTAAATGCCAGTGAACAGCTGGTTTCTTCATAAACAATGACTTTAACTGATTGATCATGACTTTATAAATAGCCTTACTTCATTACTTATCCTTTTTCCTGCTAAAATTTGTAATATGTTGGCATGTATTAAACATACCAATAATTGTTTTAAGGTATATAAAGTTACGTTCCCTTCAATGCAAATTGTATGTTATTTAGAAAATTGGATATTTGTCTACATAGGGTTTGTTATTCCTTTGAGGTAGAACTGTTAATTATGCATGCTGGCAGACAAATAAGTTTTTCTTCTTTCTCCCATCACAGATGGCAGGTCCAATCCCTTACATTACAGCACTTTGTTTAAAGGCCTGGATTTCTAATGTATTTATATAACCAAGCAAGGTAACTGCAATAATGCGTAATGTAGCCAATCAATAATGCAGGGTAGCAGTTTGGCAATGTATAAAAATGTAAAATAGTTGATATTGATGGAAACAGTTGGCAACCACATGTATTTTTGGACTTATAAGATAGATATATATCAAATTAGGTATATATTTTTAAGTAGAATGTATAGCAGTAAATGTCATAATGCAACATATGATAATTCATATTTCAGGAGATTTTTAAATAGTACATTATTGGTGGATTTTTCTAAAATGATTTTTAAAAGCACATTTTATACTTATTAAGGGTTGAGGGGATACCTCAAAGACCTTCTCATATAAAACAGAGCAAGTCTTTCTTGGCCACATTGGTCTGGAGCCTCATCATCCAATAGTTTTCTATTAGAAAAAAAAACCCTGCATTATTAAATTGTTATGTTGTAGAGAACCCTTCCCCGAGAGAGGCACACGGCATAGTAGCTGAGATAATAAATTCTGGAGCCAGGCTACCTCTGGTCACACCTTGCATTGCTAACAACATGACATTGGGAAGATTATTTATCTTTGTCTCAGTGTACACACATCTACAAAGAGTGTCATCATTAATAGCTACCTCATAGTCATTCATGTAAATAGGATTATGTTTAATACATAGAAAATGCTACATACAGGTTTATTAATTCATTAAAATAAATTGCCACAGAACTCTGTGTATGCCTGTTTTGCACGTTTTACAATATATTGTAGAAACCAGTTTCTTTGTAATTTGAGGGTAAAGTGTTTATCTCTCTTTGTTTTGCAGATAGCACAGTCCCTAGGATATCATAGGGACTATACATTCGGTTCTTATTGTAGTAAATATATTTTAATAGTCGCTATGTCCCACACACTCAGCATGCACCCTGCTTTGCACTGGGGATACAAATGTCCCTGCTCTCACATTGTTTGATATAGTTTAGAAGATGACAAAGAAGTGTGCTTATTTAACAGGGTGCGATAAGCACTTCCCTGGGGAAAGTCTGAATTGCTCCGGAAATATAAAGGAGTATCCAACCAGATCCCGGATAGAGGAGGACTGGTGTGCCTTTGAGACCCTCGAGTGAGTCCTCTTTAGTCTCATGGAAGAGAATGCAGGTCATTGGGAGGAGGAGATACTGAATTAATCTAGGAAGAGAAATGTGGAGGCCTGGAGGAGGAAAGATGACAGAACAACAGACTGGCGGAAGTGCAGAATAGAGTGCTGGAAGATGCAGCCATAGAGGACAGCAAAGGTGTGTGCTGAAGGGCTGTGTAAGCCTTGTCAATGAGCCGGGCAATGCACTGCTTAACAAAGGGGTGAGGCCCTAGCAGCTGGTTTGGCTCAGCGGATAGAGCATCGTCCTGAGGACTGAAGGGTCCCAGGTTCGATTCCAGTCAAGGGCACATGCCCAGGTTGCTAGCTCCAACCCCAGTGGGTGGCATGCAGGAGGCAGCTGATCAATGCTTCTCTCTCATTGATCTTTCTATCAATCTCTCTCTCCCTTCTTCTCTGAAATCAATAAAAAAAAAATATTTTTTTAAAAAGGGGTGAAGTTGAAGAACACTTAGGAACTAATACCTACTGGATATATTGTTTGACGACTTTAGAGAGAAGAAACATTAAGAGCAACACTTAAGTGTTCCTTGGGGAACCGGATAGATTTTTTTTATAAGCCATTCATATATATAGGAAGGCAAAACAAGGTGCATGAATTGTCTGGTTGAGTCGAGGAAGGTGATGAGATCATTTTGGGATATATAGAGCCTAAAATTCCTGTGGAATATAGATAGATAGATAAATATAGATATAGATATAGATGATATAGATATAGATATAGATATAGATATAGATAGATATAGATATATAGAAATAGATATAGATATATAAAAGCCTAAGTGACCACATATAGCAATGTGCAGTGGGATATACGTCTCAAATTCAGAAAAAAAAAAGCCAGGATTGAGGATAGTAATTTAGTGGTAATCAGCATAGAGTTGATAACTGAGTCAGCAATTACTGATTGCTT